GCACCTCAGCAGCCAAGAGCTATGGTGGCGAAGAAGGCTCCCATTTGATTTTTCTCAACAGGCTCCACTGGCTTTTTGAAAGCGATTGTCATAAGCTTACCTAGAAGTAAGCCCTCTCTTGTCTGACCTTAACATCTGTGGCTACAAATAATCAATGTACATGGGAGGAATGTCCCTTGGCAGCACCCAGCACCAATTATTATTGGGTAGTTGGGGGCAGCGGAGACTCTCAGTTCATCCATCTCTAGGGATGGACTTAATGGATGTTTGCCCAGCTAACTTGCTTTTGGACGCAGTTACAAACTCCTGGAGTTTAGTGTCTGTGGCTCATTCGGCTCTGTGGGAATGGCAGCATAGCTCTGTAGTTGATACCATGGACTCTGAAGTAAGGCCACCTCTGTGAATCCAGGGCAAGTTATGGACCTAGAGTTTGTTTTTTCATGTGTAAATGGGGCTGGAACTAACGTCTATCTCCCAGGGCCGTGGGGAGATTTAACTGATAATCCTCTAGGTATTGAGAATGGCATCTGGCATGCGTGAGTGGTATTTGTATTAGCTAGTCTCATGTTTTTTCCCCTAAAGACATTATTTTTTGGTGAGAGATAAAGAGTCTTATGAATGAATACTAAGATTTTCTTAAGAAAAGCAGAACAGTGTACTTCCTCATTAAAAAGACAAGGAAGTAATCTGTATACACATAAGGCATCTGTTTCTCCACTCACACAATACTAGTCTAATGTTGAATGATAATTTATTTTTTAATCTACTGGGTGCATCACACCACTTAGAACTCAAAATGTGTTTAATAATTCCTGCAGAATTAAGTGAAAGGGTGTCATGTGATAGAAACAAGACACAACACGTGACCTTTGCATTGTTAAGGTGTTTTTTTAATCCACTTTATCCTTTACCAATATTAAATCCTATTCACATGGAAGTAATTCAAATTATTTATCTCTAATAATCTCAAATCCCGGAATCTGTATTAGAAAAGGGAAAGAAGTTAGAAAAGAAGTTCTTTTTCTTAATAGTCCATCCCAACATTAGGCTATGTTTTTAAAATTCTTGTTTGTCTATATTTGTTTGAACTGCTCTGAAAAGTTTTCTGCTCAGGCTTCCCAACTCATACAATTTCCTTTTGACTTCCCTTTTTATCTCTTTAGGAGACAAAGTACATAAAGCACTCGGCATGAAGCCTGAAAGAGAACATTCTCAACATTTAACTTTTCCTAAAGCAAGGGGAAGAACAATAGAGGCTTTATTATCCAGAAACAAACAAACAAAACACTTCACCTTAAATTCTCAGGTAAGTTGTCAAAACTCTAGACAGTAAGCTCAATGGCCCATTGGGCAGGGGTGTCTGTTTACAACTCACAACAGAGTCTATGGAGTTATAGGACCTGAGCCCCTTCCCCCACAGACCTGGCCCTCATGTGCTGCTACCTCTTTATAAAGGTGAATATTTCCAAACCAAATTGTAAATATTTAAATATTTCTGAGAAACAAGAATGTTGCAATGTAGATTTTTTTCGCTTGTAATATTTCGACTCACTATCAGATCATGTATTTTATTTTAATTATTTATTTATTTATTTATTTAATTTCAGCATATTATGGGGGTACAGATGTTTAGAGAGAAAAGAAGATGATAATAGTACTATTAATAGTTATCACTGGAACCTACTTTGTGCCACACACTTATTAGGTATTTTATTTTAATTATTTATTTATTTATTTATTTAATTTCAGCATATTATGGGGGTACAGATGTTTAGGTTATGTATGTTGCCCTTGCACTCCCTCCCCTCCTAGTTATTTATTTTTTGAGACAGAGTCTCTCTCTGTTGGCCCTGGTAGAGTGCAGTGCTGTCATCACAGTTCACTGCAATCTCGAACTTCTGGGCTCAAGCAATCCTCCTGCCTCAGCCTCCCAAGTAACTGGGACTACAGGCGTGCACCGCCATGCCCAGCTTATCTTTCTACTTTTAGTAGAGATGGGAGTCTCACTCTTGCTCAGGCTGGTCTTGAACTCCTGAGCTCAAGCAATCCTCCTGTCTCAACCTCCCAGAGTGCTAGGATTATAGGCGTGAGCCACTGTACCTGACCACTTTTTTTTTTTTTCCAGGCCATTTTTCCTTCTGTTATATATTCACCACTGTCAATATTAAAGGGTCAACTGTATTTTTAAAACCAGGCTTTTAAGCAAAATATTTTTCAGATAAGCCCGCATCTAGCCCACTGCCTCACCAATAAATAAGATCTCACTATATCTGCAAAGTTTCTTTTTTCTGTATGTTCTAACCCTAATTACATTGGGGCAATAGTCATGACTATGAACCCCTTGGGTTACCCTTAGCATCACCTTCTTAGGAGGAGGCAAGCCAGAGAAGAAGCTACTTGAATTGTCGATCTCAGAAATTGTGTCTGGCAAAGCAGTGCCTTGAGGGTTGAGGTAATGTACTTTGGGAAGGCTAGCCCACTCTGTGAATTTATTTCATCTACGAATTAAGCCTAGTCAATGATTCTTACGTCTTTTGCAGCAACATGAATGGAACTGGAGTCCATTATTTTAAGTGAAACAACTCAGACACAGAAAGACATATACCACATGTTCTCACTTATAAGTGCGAGCTAAACTGTGTGTACACATGGACACAAAGAGTGGAATAATAGATAGTGGAGCCTTGGAAGGGTGGGAGGGTGGGAGGGGGGTGAGGAATGAGAAATTACTTAATGGGTACAATGGGCATTATTTGAGTGATGGATACCCCAAAAGCCCTCACTTCACCACAACATGATCTATCAATGCAACGAAATTATACCAGTACCCCATAAATTTATACAAATAAAAAAAGTATTCTAGATAGAGTCTTCAAATTTCATGCCAAACAATGCCTTAAACATGAAATATTATAGCATATCCTTCTTACCATCATCTCATCACATATATATTCTAGAATATATGAATATAATAAAGGTGTTTTATATAATTGCTAAAAAAGACTGCGATTCTATAATAATATGATTCCTCTATTTGTTCATTTAAAACTTATTTACAGATAAATTGGGCTCTTGCTATGTGCAAAGAATTCTTCTAGTCACAGATGAATAAGACATGGTTATTGTGTTATGGAGCTTATAAAAGAAAAGGGCTTATGTGGAAGAGAGAAATGGGGTAGAACAGATGGGTGCAACTTGAACATAGACTATTCCAGTCTTCCTATTCCAAATTGGAATGCCAGCTCTGTGATGTACCACAATTCTATTGTGAGGCTTATTCTAATAATTCTGGTCCAGGTCAAAGACTCCTGGTTTGTGTGGGAATCACGCACTGAGTGGAGATGGTAGTTTATAAATTCTTTATCCAGTGGTGGCAGTTAGTGCTGTAGATTTTTTGTTGTTTTTTTGCTGGACCCTTACTTAGACTAACTCCTAGCAATATTTTGAAACAGCGCCCAGTTAGTATTCCAGAAGCAATCTAAGCAGTTGAGGTTTCATGATGCCAACTGATGCCACCTCTTTTCCTGTTCAAAATAATATAACTCTTTGCTCTGATTGTTTCTATTTCTTGGCTTAAATTCTCATCCCAGTAATTCAAATATACTATACAAAAGATACATGATTAAAACATTTTGATTAATGACTTCAGAAAGGTGATTTTTGACTAGGAGAAAGGAAAGTGGAGAAACTTTCTGGGGCCAGAAAACTTCCTTTTCCCAAAGTTCAAGATAAGAAAAAAAATCCAACAGCCTGTTGGAGATAAATGAGAAAGAAGTAAGGGTTGGAGCCTTGGAAGTCAGAAAGAAATTAATGGAATAACTTGGGTAATGGAGACCCATGGAAAGTTGCCAACCAGCAGAGTGATGGGATGGAAATAGAAATGTGGTGTGATGGATTAGTGGGCCGGTCACACTGGGTGGACACTGGGGAGGAGTTTTTGTGATCCCACCTCCTGGCATACGGTGAGTGAAGGGTGCACAGTGACAAGAACTGACCCCCAGAAGATGACACATGAGCCTCTGGCATTTGGCATGACTCCCAGTGGTCGCTGAACGCAGTCTCCATCCTAGGCGTTCACTTTTTCATGGGCCTAAAAAAAAATGTCTGCACATTTGACTTCTGTACAGGAAGAACTGATGGAGAATAACGGATTTGAGAGGGCCTAGTGTAGACATTTTCTAAGTGTGAAAATGAGTGAGCAAAATTATATTTATACTAAACTAGAATTCTTTCCGTCCATTCTGTAGTATGATGGCCTCTGGAGGCAACTTCCAACAAAAGCATCGTTTTAGATGCTTCCAAGATGACACACGGGTGAGTACCACGGTCTGCAGGGCAGAGCAAGACATGTGACCTTGGCAATCCATTGTACATCTAAAGTGCAGGGATACTTCAATGGAATAGTTCTCACTTTTCTGGGATGAATGGAATTAGAGTACAGAGTACTTGATAAAGCAGCAGTTAGCTTAGGCTTTGGTCAAGCAGAGAAAAGGACCTAATGAGACAAGGAATATATACCATAGTCCTTTCGGTTCTCAGCTAGGCTCTGTTAGTGGAGTTTCCCGAAAGATTTGGGTATTTCCAATTAGAGATCATCATAATTTAAATCTCTGTACTGGTTTACACCAAATTACCCAAACCTCCAGCCAAAACCAATGTGTTTAAGTGGTTTCACAGTGCTATTTATATACAATAACCAACTCTCACAATGGTAACTCTATTAGCAGCAAGTGTCCTCAGTATCCTGCATGTGGCTTTCAGAGAGAGATTCAGTAAAAGTTTGGGGTTGATGATGAACCCAGTGGATAGGAGTTCCACATTAAGTCATAATTGGCTTTGTGTTGGAAGAGTGGACATCAGTTGGTGAAATCAGGCACAGAGGAGATAAGAGAGTTTCTTGTAATAACATCAGAACAACAGATAACCCACTTTTTAGTCAACACAGTAGAACCACAGGGAGGACTTTTCTAATCCCAGAATAGAAGTGTAACCCTGCCCCAATGTCCATCCTTGAGAAAATGTCTACAACAGATTTGATGGAGAGTCTCAGGGAAGAACTCACCTGTTTCATCTGCTTGGACTATTTCAACAGCCCAGTGACCACCGAGTGTGGGCACAGCTTTTGTCTGATGTGTCTCCTCAAGAGCTGGGAGGAACATAACACACCTTTATCTTGCCCTGAGTGCTGGAGGACCCTGGAGGGCCCGCACTTCCAGCCCAACGAGCGTCTGGGGAGGCTGGCTGGCATCGGCAGACAGCTCAGGTGCCAGGTGCTACAGAGTGAGGATGAGCAGAGTGTCTGTGGGAGAATGCCAGCGGCCACCAAAGCCTTCTCTAACGACGAGCAGAGCGGGAGTGCTTTCTCAGTCCAGAGTCACGGGGCGAACAGGGCACATCTCTCCAGCGAGGCTGAAGAGCACCACAAAGTAAGGCTGGCTGCTCCCTAGGAATCCCAGAGCACAAATCAGATTCCGTCACTTAACTTTCATAACGTTCTCTAGTGGTGACAGCCATCCCTGGCACCTCGCCACGGCCTTGTGTGGAGCCTGCTTTCTCCCTTCGCTTTTGAGTCCTGGTCAGCTTGTAGTTATTGGTCTTTGAGGCCCTTGGTGCTCTGCTCATTAGCCACAGAAAGTGTGTTTCTATTACAGGAGAAACTCCAGGGAATTCTAAATCTCCTGCATAAAAAGAAAAAGGAAGCTCAGATGATATTAACCCACGAGAGGGAGAGAGTGATACTGTGTAAGGTCAGTACCTGTCTTACTTTGGAATCTTGTGTATGATTCTATAGGGGGACTAACGGGATACTTAGTGAAATATCAGCGAAAAAAAAAAAAAAAGAAAGAAAGAGAGAGAGAGAGACAAATTTTTTCAGTTCCAGTTTTGCAGTATGCCGTATCCTTGCTTTGGGCTGCCTCCCTCTGCTTGTCCACCTGGGAATCTCAAGGCTCAGCTCAAATTCTCCCAGCTCCAGGCAGTCTTTGTTTTTTTCTTCCTTCTTTGTGCCCCTGGACAACTCTGTGGCTACCTCTATTATGGCTGTGATTATAATTATTTAAAATACAAGTTATACTCATAGATATGTAGGATGAAAATCAGTTTTAAAAAGGAATATCTCAAATGCTTTGGGGGAAAAAAGAGAATGCAAATTAAGAAGAATAAAGAGAAAGGGACTTAAAGGCAAAATAGTAGTTTGAATTGTACCTGAACAAATGCTCAAGGTTAGTCACAGATCTGGATTTGAGCTATGCAGCAGTCAAAGCAAAGAACTAAATGTTGAATTAGATATTAGAAGAAATCTGGGTATTTGATTCTCCCAATAGACTGTGAGTTCTTAAGTGGGAATGTTTATGATGTCTATTCCTATTCCTAGTGTGTGATCCAATGCCTACTTTCATTAAATAAATATTTGTTGAATAAATGAACACACATTTTTCATAATTTTTCTTCTTTATTTTGTTTTACTGATTACCTTCTGTCATATTTTTGTTTATTCTCGGTTTCTCCCACTAGACTGGCAGCCTCCTGGGAACAGAAATTTTGGTTTTGTTTACTATTGTATGTATAGCATACACACCTTTGAAAACATCAAACTCTCCACTGAGCCGGTCAAGGGAATATACGTGTTATGTGTCAGGTTTCAGGAATTGTCACAGTGGAACTCTAGGACTCGTAGGATTGAAAATCTACAGACATGGGTGTTGCTTTTACTAACTTGATTATCTTGGGGTGTGTGTGTGTGTGATGGCAGGAAGAGACAAAGACTTTTAAACAGGTCGTTGTGTCGGAATATATGAAAATGCACCAGTTCCTGAAGGAAGAGGAACAGCTGCAACTCCAGCTACTGGAAAAGGAAGAGAGAGAGAACGTGAGGAAACTGAGGAACAGTGAGATCCAGCTGACCCAGCAGATCCGGAGCCTAAACAAGATGATCGGACACATAGAGTCCACATGTCAGAACTCGATTTTAGAATCTTTGGAGGTGAGAATAAAATACTCCTTAGAGCACTGGGAAAATGAATGGGAAAAATTATGGTAACCCATAGGAAATGATTTCTTTTCCATTCATCTGGAAAACTAAGTTCTGGCCCCAAAGTAGCTTTCCCAAAGATTTGACATCCTTTATGTTAATAAAGCCTTAAGGAGGAGGAGGAAAAAACAGAAGAATACCCATCCCAAACACGCCAGAGGATGACTTCAGTTTCTTCTGTGCCCGCCTCTGTAACCACCGCTTTGTCAAACATTTTTTTAAGTTTATTAATGTGCTTTTGCTACATGCTGGGCACATTAAATGAAGCTTTACATAGACCTGATTAAGATAAGTATGATTATGATACGAACCAGAGGTGGCTGTCATGTCCTGAATGGGTTCATGCAACAATATTTAACCACGCAGACCTATGGTAGTGAGGTGACTGGCCTGTCAAACAGCCTTAGTGTGGAATCCAGTGTCCTGTGTCCCCAGTCTCTGTTCCTCACCATCTTGGCTGGTTTCTAGGCAGCTGCATTCTCTGGGACCTTCTTAAACGTAAGCCACAGGAGCCTACTTCAGCTTTAGGTCTGTTTCATGGGCTGGTTCCGTACCATGCTGCTGTTTGATTTAGTGCCTTCCAAACACACCGCTCCCACCTCCCACGGGCTTGGTGAGTCTCAGCTCTCCCCAGGCCCTTTCGTTTGTTTATCTCTGACGCTCCCCATCCCCCCAGCATTGGGTAATGAGACTGATAGTTTGGCTTCTTTATCAGCAATAGCGTCTCTGGACAAAGTGATGATGTGAGAAAAAGTAAAGGACAAAGTACTCTCTAGTCATTGTCCAGAGCTCATGTTCACCCAAACCCATCCCTAGAAGAATCTGGGGATGTATTCCTCTGTCATATTCACTCCCACTCAAGGAGTGCTTCATGGGAAGTGGCTTCTGTGAACTTTGCAAAGGCCTGTATCCGGAATGGATTCTGCTTTGCTAGCCATCAAAGTGCACAAATGCTAACCTTCTTTCTTTTATGCCCTAGGAGGTGAGAAGTGCACTGGAAAGGTAGGGTGTTTCTTTTGTGTTCAGCTGTGCGAGCTGCAGGGGTGTGAGTCGGGTGTGAGTGGGTCCGCCAGTGTCTGTGTCGTGGCTGGGGATGTGAGATGCACTCTCGCGTTGGAGCAGCCTGCGGTGTGTGTGGAAGACGGAGTGTGCGTCTCTGCTCTCTTGCAGGAATGAGCCCCTCCTGCTTCAATGTCCAGAGGCCACCACCACTGAGCTGAGTTTGTGCCGAGTCACCGGGATGAGGAAGATGCTAAGGAAATTCAGCAGTAAGTCAGCTCGACTGTCAAACCTCCAGGGATCCCAGAGCTAACTTCAGGATGTGTGAAGATGTATATGCCAGAGCTCTCTGGCAGTTTCTCCAACTAGAATATTCACCACCTGCTGCTAGGTGCTCAGCTAAGGTGTCCTGAGCCTGCAGGACACACCAGGGAAGGCTGGGGCCACAGACCAGCCCTGTGTTGGAGCAGAGAGAAGCGGTGAAACTTGGCTGATGTTTTATCTGGCTTTGTTTTCTGGCTAAGGAATCCTGTTCCTTCCTTTGTTTGTTTTTATTGTTCTGTTTTGTCCACTCCCAGTCCTTGCGCGTTTGCACACGCACATCCCTCTTGCAGAAGGTTCTGCATTTCTAGCTCTGTTCCTGTCGGGATAAATGCTGACTTACGTTCTAAAATCCCAGGGAGGGACCATTCAGAGAACTGTCCCTTTAGAATGCTCCAGATATTTAGACTGGCTAGCACCAAGAGGTCAGCATTAGTTCTCAGTTTTATCTTGTTGACAATGTGACCTTCAGAGGAAGGTCTAATGAGGTTCGGACTCAACAGATACTAATAAGTGCCTGGCTGGCTTGGTACTGGGCTATTAAGCTCTGGGCTTTCTTACAATGATAAATAAGACAGATGTTACCTTTGCTTTTGTAGAATTGTCAGTAAAATCAAGGAGAAAGACATTGATCATACAGATATTTAGTTATGGTTGGGATTTGGTCTACAAGTATGAAATTGTATGATAGTGCCTAATCTTTCTGAACAGTCAGTGAAAGTTGGAGGCCCCTTCTGTGAGCTCCTCTCTGGAGGGTGGGGGCACAGGCCTCCCACTGGTTCACAATGTGCTTCATCAGATGGTCACCAGTATAGCACTAAACTCATAAGAAGCTTCCTTTGAGCATGCATAACGAGAAATGCTGACTAGAAACTGCTATTCAAACACTCAGTAACTGTGTAATCTTGGTGAAGTTTCCTAACCTTTATGAACCTCAGTTTTCTTTTTTATAAAAATGGGAGAAAATTAATAATGCTTGCAATGATTAAATGAAATAACGTGTAGAAAAGGCTTGGCACATAAGGAAGAATTCAGCAAATGCTATAACCTCAGTCATTTATTTGGGTTGACGCTGCCAATATTTCATTCCCATCTAAAGTAAATAATCGGAGCCAACCGTGGCTAATATGAATGTAAGCAACAGAAGGTGGCGTCTCTGTGTGGATAAGTAGCTCTGAGCTCTAACACTGTCTAGTGAACAGAATGGCTTCCATTCCACTCTCAGAGATTCCCCTTTCCCCCCCAGGCAGGCTGATATCACTCTCCCCATGACTCTTCCCTCTTTCCCTTTAGAGATTCACTTCTTTTGTTTTATGGAACAGTGAAAGAAGTGCTTAGAGGCTGGGTGTGGTGGCACCTATAGTTCTGTCAGGTGTGGGGACCAGATGTCAGGTCCATGTTCCCTGGTTCTTGGTTCCCAGTACCGAAGAATGGTTACTGGTACCGAGTCGATGGAGCACATGAGCAGCCCAAGCAGATGCAAGCAGGCAAAGCTCCAGAGTTTCCTAAAGCGTAGTACTTTCCAGAGAAGGAATGAGTCAACCCCTGCGAGTGGAGACCCTGAGTTTAACAAGATTTCTCCCTTTAGGTGATCTCTTAATTCTATGCTAAGTGGGGAGTGGAATATTCATGATTTTTCTGGGAAAAAGGTGGAGAGTTTCTCTAATGGTGAATCCTTCTCTTCTCTATCCTTGTAAGGCAATTTCTGGGGGTTGCCATGGTATTTGTAAACTGTCATAGTGTAGGTAGGTGTGATTTTTACTATGTTAATGAGGGTAGGTCACTTGAGGATACTGTCACCTTACTTGTACGCATGCTCCAAAGACCCTCATTTGTGGCCTTGGTGGTATCTCCACTTTGTGGCTTTTCTGCCTCTTTCTGGTTAGTCGGTCCTTGAAGACCCCCTAACACATCATCTGTTCCTTCTTGGAAGCCCCCATTCTGGTCAATTTGTTCTTCCTAGTAGACAAAGTATCTCCTAACATCATCTATTTCTCAGTAGAAACCCCTAGACAAAGCATCTGTACCCCTTCCTGCATGTCTCTACCTGACAGTCCTAGCTACTCGGGAGGCTGAGGCAGGAGGATCCCTTGAGCCCAGGAGTTTGAGGTTGCAGTGAGCTATGATGATGCCACTGCACTCTAGCCTGGGTGACAGAGTGAGACTCTGTCTCAGAAAAAAAAAGTGCTTAGAGATTCTGTTCTAAACGAAACCATCCCCCGTCTTACTCACCTAAATTACATGGGAAACAAAAAGGACAAAATACTAAGAATTTAATTTAAATTTCACATATATAAGAGGTTTTTCAAAAACGCCAAAGGATTCTTCTTGTCTCTTCTTGCAGCGGAGATAACTCTGGATCCAGCCACGGCCAATGCCTATCTAGTCTTGTCTGAGGATCTGAAAAGCGTGAAATACGGAGGAATCAGACAGCAGTTACCTGACAACCCAGAAAGATTTGACCAGTCTGCAACTGTGCTGGGCGCTCAGACCTTCACCTGTGGGAGACACTACTGGGAGGTGGAGGTGGGAAACAAGACCGAGTGGGAAGTAGGCATCTGCAAGGACTCGGTGAGCAGGAAGGGGAATCTCCCAAAGCCACCCGGGGACCTCTTCTCACTCATAGGCTTAAAAATTGGAGATGATTATAGTCTTTGGGTCTCATCACCTTTAAAAGGCCAACATGTCAGAGAGCCTGTGCATAAGGTTGGTGTGTTCTTAGACTACGAATCTGGACACATAGCGTTCTACAACGTGACCGATGAGTCCCTCATCTACAGCTTCCCCTCAGCCTCTTTCCACGAGGCCCTCAGGCCCATCTTCTCCCCTTGCCTCCCAAACGAAGGGACGAACATAGATCCTCTAACCATCTGCTCGCTGAAAAGCCACGTCTGAGGGACCTGCCCCTGAGCCTTCCCTGAGGATGATATCTAAGACTAACAGCTATTAATGAAGATGACTAATGCAGTGACAGGATTAACATCAGGTGATCTGAAACACCCCCCACCCCAAAGAATTGCTGTATACTTGAGCCCTCAGTGAACAGCCAAATTAGACGATCAACTTCAACACCAATAGAAGAGAGCTGATCATGTCCCGTGTCTTTAACTAAATTCTTTATCTAGACTCCCCCATGTACCTGTAGGTCACTCAAACTATAGAGGTAGAACTAGCCCCTCTTGTGCTGAATCCCACTGTCATAGGCCAGTTTTATAAATATATGTCACTTTTGCAAGCGTGTGTATTTATTTGACTCTTAAAAACAGTTCTGTTCGAATGTGTCTTTGGCCTACAGGCGGGGTTCTGCGTGCTGAGTGATTCCAGTCCCTTGGGGGGCTGAAGCCTGGGTTAATCTTTCCGGGGTGGGTAAGAGGGACTCAGGGCCCAGCCTTCTCTGAAAAGTCACTTTTCTTCCCATCCCATGAGGCCTGGAGTATTTGTACTCAGAAAGGCTTGTGTGTTCAGAATGTCACAAATATTTGTGTGACTATCATCATGTCCTTCATGTTACCATAATCACAAGAGGCTGGAACCTTCTGTTAATATGTTAAAAGATGACAGAACAAAATTTCTATTCTATAAACGTATTATGGCAATGGATGCTAAGTGACTTTATTGTGTTTGATGTAGGTTATTTTCTGTGCTTTTGCTATTTGCTATGTGCAGAAGGCTTTCAATCCCTGGAAGACCAAAGAGCCTACTGTCCTATCTCAGAATGCCAGGGGTCATGGGGAAGGGGTTGCCGTCTGAGCGGAGCTCTTTTGGCTGGTCTCAGAACACCTCCTGGTGCAGGTCTGCATGTTTTCCATTCTTAGTGGTCTGTTCCTGTAGGTTGGTGTTTGTTTTGTTTTTGTGTTTGTTTGAGACAGAGTCTCACTCTGTCTACACAGGTAGAGTGCAGTGGCATCAGCCTAGCTCACAGCAACCACAAACTCCTGGGCTCAAGCGATCCTCCTGCTTCAGCCTCCTGGAGTAGCTGGGCCTACAGGCGCACACCACCATGCCCCGCTAATTTTTCTATTTTTAGTAGAGATGGGGTCTCGCTCTCGCTCAGGCTGGTCTCTTAACTCCTGACCTCAAGTGATGCTCCCATCTCAGCCTCCCAGAGTGATAGGATTACAGGGCCTGTTTTTGTTTTTTAAATGGAATTCTACCTTGCTCACTTTGCAGAACATCACCAATCACAGAGGGTAACCCTGTACCTTCTCTCACTTCTCAGATAAGTCGTTGCCCTAAGGCAGACAAGAATTTAACCACCACATGTGACTGCATAATTGCTGAGATTTTTATCACAGATCTTTGTCTGCAAATTGGAGACTAGGTTGGAAAAAAATTGATAATTCAACTTGTTAATCAACACACAAGGCCATAAAAGGAGGTCACTGAAGTAACTGAGTTTATTTTAGAGTTCATGTTCATCTTTCTCTTTGATCTAAATCTTTCTCTTTCAACCTTATACTTTTCAATCTTGTACCATCAAAGGAGGGGAGCAGATATGAGCTAGTCTTAGGATCTAGAAAATGTTCTCTTCTGTTTTTTGTTGTCATCATTTGCATTTTCACCCTGACATCACAGAAAATTAGGGTCAGAGATGTGTAAAGGAGAAGAACCTCACACATCCTCTTTAGTGATTTGTGTCTTTCTTTGTTTCCCATTTGTTATTTTCTCAGATAGACTTTATTTCTTGATTTCTCCACCTCAGAAGCTAAGGAGTCATAGAACAAACACCAAACATTTGGAATACGTCTTTTCCAATTACCAAAAATTCCGAATTTTGGGGCGATAAATGAACATAAAGGTAATACATTTTAATGTAGTGTGTGTTACATTTAATTGCAGTATAATCCAGGTGATAGATCCCCTCTTTTTTCTTCTTTATCCCAACTGGGTTGATATTGTCAAGGAAACTAGCCTATTTTTTTCTCTGGCAAAATCATCCTGAGTGTATCTTTGCTGCACCATTGTTTACACCAAGACTGCCAGTGATTTGGTGTGTGGGAAGGTGGAATCTACAGTATTCTGACTCTTTTGAGTTTGCATAAACAACCATGAAACAGTTGCAAGAAAATTTACCCTCAAGTGTCCCCCACTCCTGCCCCCACTCCTCAAGCTGTTCCCTCATCTTCCCCTTTAAATTTCTCTCCAAATCCCTGTCTTCCACTCTTTCTTGAGTGGACAATTTCCCCAGGAGACAGCAGTTCACAAGCAGCCTCTTGTTCAGTGGACATGATCAAAATGGAATCTGGAATCATAGCCATTTTCTTCTCTACCTCTCCAGAATTAGCTAGAAGAAAAGGGACATGTCTAGTCCTGAGGTTAGAGGATATTAAGAGTGATACTCCACATCAGCTTGCAGTTTGACTACTTTGCTTTTTGATTTTCTTTGTCCTAGAATACCTTAAAAATAAAATATTATACATCTCTTGCTCTGAAACCTGATTTACCAATACAACTTCACAACTCTTCAACAAGATATTTGAGTACTCTTCAAATTATTCCCTCCTCCCCGACAAAGATGTAACTTAAACCTATTATGCTTAGAGAGTATCACCTTATCTGACTTTAGATTACTTTACAAGGCCCTTTTACCCTAATTTAACTCAGGAATGTGCCCAATCCACCCTTCCGTATTCTTGGATTTTTCCCTGGTGGGCACGGTGAAGAAATAAAAACAGAATAATAGGTCACAGTAGGAAAATGGAAGAACACTGAAATGTGCAAATGATAAAATAAAAATTGTGTGTAATCTTACTACATGGAGATAACCAATGCTTGTATTTTGATGTGTCATCTTTCTAGTCTTTTGTACGTATATTTTAAGCAAGATGAAAATTGATATTACCTTAATATTAAAGTAAACTTCCTTCATATCATTACATATCTCTTGAAACTATGAGTTTTTTCATCCCTAAATGCATAAGCATGGCTTCCAAGAATTAGTGCATTTTGTTAAATTACATTTATCATATCCAAAGGTTTACATTATAAATGATACCATGATATTATCTAACAAACAGTCCATGTGAAAATTTCTCACTTGTCCTTGTAATGTTCTTTATAGCTGTTTTTTTTTTCCTTTGCATTCCAGTATCCCGGAATAATATAGGAGCATGCATTGAGTTTAATCATCTTAGAGAATAAAATATGATTTTTAATGTGAGTAATATTTCATTATATGACTGTCCTTAATTTATTTAATCATCCCCCTACTATGGAACATTTAGATTTTCTCTTTATAACTACTATAAATGACCCTGTGATGAACACAAGTGTGCATAAACCTTTGGGAGTATCTCTAATTATTTCCCAAGTTTATCCCTTATAGGCAGGAAAGCTCCCGGTGGATCCTGTCCCATGTGCTGTGGTCGCACATTCCCCAATAAAAGTTCTACGTGCCCTGCAAGTAGTCCCAAAGGTTCTACTTACTCACATCCACACCGAAGGGGCAGGCACACTAGCTTTGAAACAAGAGAAAGAACATGTTTTCCCCTGCCGTAGGGTCTTGACAGAAGCATTGCACTTATTTTCCAAAAAAGCTACACTGAGAGGAATTGGAATAGTGCTTGAGCTTTGAAATGAGACAATCCTTGGTTTAGATGTTTGACTTCATCACAAAGCAACTGTTTTAATTTTCACAAGTCATTTCAACTCTCAGGGACAATTATGTGAAAACTCGTAAAATCAGTTAATGCGTGGAGCATGATGACTTTTTGTTAGGTCTCCTCTCCCCCCTTTGAAAACTCCATTTTTTAACCTTAGAAAGGACACAGAAAAGCCACAGGGTGCTGTGTGGACTGTGGAAGACATAGACCCCAAAATCTTTGAAATATTTCCCAGCTAGGTGTTACTATTTTAGGGAGAGAAGCGTTAACACAAAATTCAGTTGGAGAAAAAGAAAACCTCTATGGATTATTTTATTTTTCATGAAAGTCCTTCTGAACTTCATGCTTGAGAGCATCCCATTACGCAACTTAAAAACCATCGACTAATATAATACGTACTAAATAAATAAAAATAAAAAATATTTTAAGGAAGTCATCCTGTTTTCATTCCTTCAGTCCTGGCAATCTCACTCCTTTGCCCTGGGCTCCTAGGACACCATATGAACTTTGCTAATCATTCACTCTTCCTGCGCTTAAAGTACCGCAGGCAAAGGAATGGGGCTAATGCAGCCTTCTGCAATCACTGTACTCAGTCAACGGTGCTCACGATGATTCAAGGTGTCCTGCGACGCTGATCCTGTCAGCTGTTGGGTGGGCTTGGGGTGATCACCACCAGATGCAAACACTCCTGCCTGCCTGAGGAAAAGCATATTAGATGCATGTCATGGCGTGAAAAAGGCTGGAAAGCACCGCATCCTCCCCCCATATATATGCATGACAGGGAGAGAGGTCACTCACGGTTGCCTGGGATGCCCTGTTACAGCTTCCTTATTGACAGCGAGCAAAATGGAAAAAGATTTTGTGAGGCTAGGAGCTTGTACAAATGAGCAGTGTCTTCTTTGCAAAAAGATAATAAAAAATTGCAAATTATAAAATTAGGTCCAGGATATCAGAAGGTCTCAAAGGAAATGAGGGGCCTGCAATTTAAGTTTCACTAGCTCCGCAGGACATTTGTTCCAGGGTTAGCCTGAGGCGAAGAAGTGCAAAGGCAGTGAAGCGGGACCTCCTGGGTTCAAACCCTGGTCCCGCTCCCTACTGCCTGTGCTGCACTATCTCCCTGTGCCCCAGTTCCCTCATCAGGAAAATGTGTTGAAAATGATATCAGCCTCGTAGTATTGTTGTGTGTATCAAATGGCACAACACCTGCACCTAGAACATCGCTCGATTCAAGGTATCGTTACCCAATCATTGTTAACTCTTACTAGTTCCTTACTAAGCTTTGACATCTACACC